TAATTTTAAATTTGAATTTCCAACAAGATGAGTTTCTGTAGGTCTACGAACTTTATATTTAATGTTTGCTACTTTCTTGCACTTCAGCTCATGCATAAATTCATCAAGACCTAACTCTAACATTACGTATTCTTTAACAGCAGATGTGATTGCTAGAGGCAAATAATTTTTGGCTGCTTCTATTTTAACTAACTCTCTAATGACTTTTGGCCGTTCTATCCTATCAATTTCTGATAAAGAATGTGTATGGTTAGGGGAATTTTTATATCGCTCTACTTAAACTACATTTGAAGAAACTACCCAAAAAATTTTAACCATTGCAGAACATATGCCAGCTGGCTGTATCTTGGTTATTTGGCATTTTTTATTTGGAATATTTTCTTTCTATCAGGTACTTGATTCGCGATGCTTCATCAAATGACAGACGAAAGTTTTCTGAATATTATCATTTGTATATTTATATGAGTCACATTTCGTCCAATATTTGAAATCACTTATCATTAAAATCGTCCATTGGGATCTTTAAAATACCATCAACTAGGGTTTCCGTTTGAAATACAAATTTCATATCAATATTTGAAAGTTTTTTTAAAATAATTTCATCGAAATGATTTCGGATATCGAAAATCATTTCGAAAAATCGATCGATAAGATCGATCGAATTGATGATATTCGAATCAATTTCGATAACCGAATCATTTCGATATTCAAATATTAACGTTAATTATATATTTTCGAATATTTGAATTTTATTGATTTACAAACGAATATCGAATATACTATTTTCAAACGGAAACCCTACCATCAACATTAAAAAGAAGATCCCGCTTTTCGTCTGATGTGAGATTTGTTATTGACGTTATAATTAAAGGAACAGAAGCTGTAGAGGTAACGGCTAAAAGTAAAGAAGTGATGGACATAACAGCTTTTTATTTAATACCAAAAGAAAAAAGAAATTGTTCTAAAAAACCATTTCTTTCAAAGAGAATTGTTTTAAAACATATCTCACTCAGAGAATCATTCTAAAAGAAAAAAACAAAACAAAATAGAACAGAAAAAAAATTAATGCTATGCTGACAAATAAAAAACCAATTATCGTTTTCCTATAAATCACGTGACACATATCATCCCGAAACCATATCACGTGATTTGCCCCGCTTTTAGACGAGGTGTAATTTGGATATTGGATTCAAATTTTGATATTTTTATTTTTTTCATTTTTTTTTTTTAAATCTTTTTTACTTAATGCAATTGATTTGGATTTATTAACACAACTTTGGAAATTCTTAACATGCTCGGGAATTTTTCTCCGAGCTTTTGCTTGATATATAATGGTATTCACTATATATTGATTGTTTTATATATAGTAATTAAATATTGTTAATTATTAATATATATTAGACGTGTCAATGACCTTTAAAAAGAAAATCCGTGAGCAAAAAAACATGATGTGTCAGTAAAGTTGAATACCCTTCCTTCTTATCTATTCTTATCTATCTTTCCAACTATTTTTCAAAATTTCTATTTATAAATCTAATTACTCAGCTCGTTTGTACTAGTACAACTAACCAAACATTATATTGGATTTCAAATTTTTTTTTTTTTTATTATATTTATTTTATAAAAAAAAAAAGGCTGGTCATCGTGATCATATGCACATAAAAAAAACTTGTATTTTTTTTATTTATTTTTTATTTTGTGACTTTTGGAACAGTCCGTTATTAATAAATTCCGACGGTAAGTACCAAAAAAGATAAGTGGCAAAACGCCAAGTTGGTTATGAGAGATCTATTCATTGGTAATGAGAATGTATTTGAATCATATTAATTTTAATAAGCGCATTTTTATTGGATTGTGGTGCAGATTCACCAGGGGGGTATTTAATCTTCTTTTCAAAAAAAGACGGAAAGAAACCATCCAACTAGAAATCATTTAGGCCTATAACTCGTAAAGGGACCTAACATATTTTTATGTAAGTTTACAAGAATTTTCGGAAATTTATGTTACCAGAACTATTTGAATTAGGAAATGAGAAGAATTTTTATCCGGAGAGAGTGCCTATTTTATAGATAATCTAAATAAACCAATTTAAATCCTCATTTTCATTCTTTCAAAAACGAGCCCCCAATTTTACAGATAACACAATAAAAGAGACGAAAAAGGATTAAATAACATCCCAGAAGGTTTATAGTTCAAAATTTTGCTTTAGGTTTGTGTAACATCTCACGTAAATCCAGTTAACGCGCTGCAACGAAATTAAATTCTTTACAGCATGAACATGAAATTTCTAAAAAAAAAAAAGAAGGAAATAAAGATCATTTTGTCTTTTAATACACATGCTCTTTACTATCAATAGAATAAATGGCGTTTCATCTTTTGTAATATCAAATAACAAAAAGGTGTTCATTATCAAACGGTTTTTGATTGCGCGTAAAGTATCGATTAACTTTTCTTTGTAAATTAGATAAGGATTCACATAATCGATGAAATGATCAATAATAATAATAATAGGAGGGACAATGAATTACAATAAAGATTATCTGTATCGGAACAGAAATGTTTCCGTTTTGCCGACAACGTCATTTATATATTTACGGATAAGCTATTTACCGAATAATGGTACAAATTGCATGCATACATTTGATTTGAGAGGTGTTTCACGAAATTATATGGCGCAGTAAATATCACCGTTTAAATCCGATCGTCTTATTTATCTTTATTGTCCGGCTCAGCGGGGGTCGTGATGTAACTTTAATCGAGAATTTATTGATATAAAGACCTAATTAAGAAATTTTAATAAATCACGGATAAGTCTTACTCAAAATAAAGTTTAACGGGGAGTAAATCGGATATTCCGTATTTCCGGAATACGCTTGTGCCGAAATTTTGTATTACAAATCCAAATTTCCAATTTCTACATGTCAGGTGATATTATCTATTGGATCTATTGTTATTTATTTTATTTATTTATTGTAATAATGAATTAAAAAGAAATAAATATGTACGACTTTTTAATTACCAAATATAACACGGGAGTTCGGAATCTTTTAATACCGATTATCTATAAAAAGGTATAAATTAAACCCCTCACAGAGGTCGGTATTTTTTTCTCCGTTTCCGTTTCATCTCTTCAGAGACACGCTTCCCAATTTATCATTACTACGGATTTTTCCTCTTATATATATATATATATATTTTTTTTTTTTTAACACAGAGGCATTTTTTAAGATTAAAAAACATCAAGTATATTGGGAGGGCTCCTTTTCTTTTTATTTAAAAAGAAATGATACTTTCTTCCCATAAAAATTACTTTTTAAAATTACCATTTCTCCCTTTATATAACTAAGTAGGTAATCCTATGGAGTTTTTTTTTTTTCCCATCAGATATGAGCGTGTTTTCATTGTATTCGTTTGGATTTAATGTTGATATTTAGAACATGAATTGCAATTGAAATAAAATCATATTTTAATCAAATTTTTTTTTGTTTACTTCCTTTAAATTATTCACAACGTTGAATTCGAATTATAAAGTCGCGCAAATCGTCTTTTTTTTTTTTTTTTCCTTTAGAGATAATTTGAACCTTAGATTTGTTGGGATGGATCCACCCACTTTTATCTCCCCCGTTGAAGAAAACTCTATTAACAGCAGCGATAACGCTTCTTCTCCTGCGAGTAATGCCGAATCTCAGCCCCCTAAGAGAAAACGTCTGACACAGGCATGTGACGCGTGCCGTAAGAAAAAAGTAAAGTGTAGTGGTGAAAAGCCTTCTTGTAATAATTGTACACGACTCGGCACGCATTGTACATATCTTCCTAGTACGCGTAAGCGAGGTCCAAGAGTTGGATTGGTTGAAAGTTTGGAAAAACGTCTTCAACAAATGGAAAAGCTGTTGCAACCTCTCAAAGAACAAGGATTGGTAGATGACAGTGTTGATAATTCAACCGGTCGTTCTACAAAAAAACAAAGGCCAAATCCTAAAGACAACGACGTTCCTGATACCCCTTTCTCACATTTTGGTGCGAATCCTGTGTCATCTACTTCGGGTGATTCTAGTTACTTTGCTGGATCTGCATTTATCGCACCGAATTTTCAAAATAATAATAAATTTTATAAAACTCCCGGCGCATTCAACAAACCGAATCAGCAAAGTCAATCCCCATATGGACATAATGTACCCTATAATTTACTTTCTCCGTTACAAAAAACGTATCCATTACGAACCTCAAGTGAGGAAATGTCAAGATTCATGGAACAACAGACCAATAATTATGATGATTCTCAAGAGGATAAACACAACAATGATATTTCAAGGAATGCGGAAAAGGAAGAAGATGAACTGCTCTTTTTTGGGAAAACATCAATAAAGCCTGGATTTGTTCATCCATCAGATTTGTCGTTCATCTGTGAAAAAGTTTCACCGAGTTCTTCAACAAGTTCGATTCTCCCTGGATCGGCCAGCTCGAGGGAAAGACCACCAAGCATTAATTCACCAATGCCGAACATTATCATGCCAATTGGATTGGAAGATTTTCCTCGAGTAGAAATAGTGGAACATCTCGCTTCTTGCTATTTCCGTAACTTTGATAGTATGGTTCCAATTTTCCATGAGCCTACTTTTATGAAGCTTCTGAGGCAAAATAAAGTTTCATCCATTCTAGTATTTGCCATGTGTGCCTTGGGTGCGAAGTAAATATCCATGATTACATGATTATTTTCGGTATGCAGCATTTTTCAACAATAAATATTTCATTACTTTTTCCATGTTAGGTTTTCCAATCACCCATCTATCGTTGGTGATACTCCTCGCGTATCAAGCGAAAAATTTGCAGTGATCGCAAACTCTATGATCTTTCGATCTTTTGATTTTCCTTCCGTTGAACATGTTCAAGGTATATATTTATATATGTTGCATTCTTTTTTGTTTCATTTTGACTCTATTCCATTAGTATTTAAATTTTAAAATGAATTTGATTTCTAATTCAATCTATTTATTGCAGCACTTGTTTTATTGACTTTACATATGTATAGTACTTGCAAAGGACCAAGATCCTGGATATACATTGGAATGGCTATTAGGATGGCACAAGAAATTGGCCTTCATAAGGTGGATGAAACGCCCGTAGGGGCGCAATACACAAAAGACAAGTCGGAAGCAGCCTTCATACAAAAAGAGATTCGAAGACGTACATTTTGGTCGTGTTTTTTACTTGACAGGTAAAGATACTTTGATTGACGAATTATTTTTACGTTCGTCCCTAGTTATTTACAATTCCCATTTATTTTTATCTAGGTCTTCTGCATGTGCAGTTGGTCGACCTACATTAATTGATGAGGATGATTGTGATGTGAGATTGCCATGTAACGAAGCCATCTGGAATTATGATCATCCTTATTCAAAAGTTTTGATTGAAGAATATTATAACAAGGCTCACGTTAAACAAGAATCACGCATGACTCTTACAAACAATGGACTGTTTGCTTGTCTTGTTAGCGTAAAGGCTTTGCTTGGACGAGTTAGCCAGTTCGTTAATCGCTCAAGACCTTCTAATTCACTACACCTCTGGGAACCGCATTCTCAATTTGCTATATTGTCAAATGAAATAAATCTCTGGTATAATTCACTGTCGCCTCATTACACTTACACCAAAGAAAGGTTGCAGAAGTTGATGACCAATGGCACCGGGGCTATTTTTGCCACAATACACCTGATCTATTATTCAGTTATCATTATCCTGAATCGACCAAACACGGCGCCATTACCAAATTATGAGGGGATAGAAGAATCGCATAGAGAGTTTATTCGTAAATCAACGGAACGTTGCAGTGTAGCAGCAAAGGCTGTTTCCTCAATATCCGCTGATATTCTTGCACACGGGGTTCCTTATTTGTGTGTCTTTACTTTGTATCCTTTATATGTAACTTCGACGGTTCTTGTAAATGAAATTTATAGTTCAAATAGTTCAATTGCAGAAGAAGCTAAAAAGAACTTGGAGATAATTAAAGAATATTTGTTAGCAGCGGATCCATATTGGGCAATGGCTGGCAAATTATTGCGTATGATTGCAGAAATGCGCAAAGACCTTGAAGAGAAATTAAATATTGTAAACAATAGTACTGAACAAAGAAATTCTGAACAATTAAGAAGCGAAATGTATATGGGTACAGACGCCGGATTTTTATCCTTCTGGAATCGTACCAGTGCTGTTGATGCCAATGATATTTCCTCCATTATGTTACCTGAACAGTTACTTTCTTCACACTGGTTTGATGATTTATCTATTAATGATACGTGGTCAAATTTACTTCGCTCTTCTGATCCATTTTCGCCCAGAGCGATATCACGTTTTATAAAAAAAGATAAAAACTCGAATGGGGAAAGTTCGACCGACGACAATTATTTTAATCAGGAAATGGCAAATTACAATTATCCCCCTCCCATGTTTAATGGATATCCGATGATGGATCCGACAACAGCGAATCAAAATGCGTATGAGTTGAATATGGGAAAATATTCTTCGATAAATCGTCCTCTTAAGCATTGGAGAACGGTTAATGGAAATAATATAACCTCTGTGACTGAAAAATCTACTATAAGTGACACACAATCCCAATCGCCTGCTTCCATTGCCACCGGTTCAAATACCTCTTAAGAAAATGAAAATAAGTATAATTTTTTCCCTACTTTATTTTCTTCATGAAATTGATTTTTTTAAAAATTTCAAAAAACACCAACAAAATAATTCATATGGTTAAGATATCTAGATATATTAGATTTTGTATTATAGGTTAGAACATATGAATATGAAAAAAAAAAAAAAAAAAAAAAAAAAGAAAATTGTATTATAGTTTTTTTTTAATTAAGTTTCCAACTTCGTATGATGATAATTTATAATTAAATTAAAGAAAATTTTTACGACGATCAACATTATCAATCATTAACGGAATATATGAACATTATATCTCTCGGAACAATTCAAAAGTGAGTTTATTTTGTCAAAAGTATTTATTTGTTGAACAAATCGAATCATTCAAAATTTATGGAGTATCAAAGGTCTTTTTTTCGATCAACTTATACCACCATTACATGCTTGAAAAATTTTTCAAGTGGATGAATTTATTTCAAAAATCCTCACATTATACCGAATGCCTAGCGCCATTCCTTTTATGCCACGTCTTGTGCCTAAAGTGCATTGAGATTCTCAACTTTTTTTTTACGAATAAAGGTTCTAAAATAAAATAAATTTAATTAGTACCTTTTAAACTCGAAACGATTATGACTGACGTATTAAATATTGTATAACCGAAGATCATTTAAGAATTCGATGTAATACAGATCCTGAATAAATCAATTCAAGGTTAAAAAAAAAAATTCGATTCATTAAATAAAAATGACTTCTACTACAAACACGGACGACGACGTATATCATGAAAAAGAATTGATATTAAACACTTTGAAAACCTCCTTAGGGTTTGCTGGTGTTGGGCTTCTTGTTGCAGCTGCGCAAAATTCTTATTATGATAATACACGCGCTTCTACCGTCTTCACAAAATATGGCTCGAGTGTTACGGGCTTTGGTACATTTTCTTTCTTTCTTTTTTTTTTTTTTAATGGAGAAACATTGTAGACCCAAATTTGAGAGACCTTTTGATTCTGAATTCGTAACTCTTGTACATTCACCAAGGATAAGCAATAATTATTAATAATTCATTTGGAAATTATTCGGCCGATTCGATTTTGTTTTTATTATATAGCTTTACTAGGAGGTATTTTTACAGCGACTGAAACAATTACAGCAAACGTCAGAAAAACAGATGATTGGATTAATGGAGCTGTAGCTGGATGTGCTGCTGGTTTAACAACAGGAATAAGGGGTATGTTTGGCTTCTGATTTTGATTTTATATCCATAATGTATAGATTTTCTTTAACGATTTCTCATCAATTAGCACGTTCATATGCGCTAAGTATTGGAGCATGTCTAGGTATCGGTGGTTTAATGGGTTTCTATGAATTCTCTGGAGCATGGAGGGGATTATTGAAGGATAAAACTGAGGTTCGTTAATTATTAAGACTTTTTCATGCTAAAAATAAAAATAAAATTTTTGACGTTTGGTTAAATCATAATAGGAGGAAAAGCGTAATTGGAGATATAACGTTTTTAGAGATAACAAACCCGTATTAGATGAGGAATAATGAATGTTTCCAATTATTTAGAATATAGTATCGTTAAAGATTTTATTTATTTTAATAATCACAATTGAATATTGAAATTTGATCAAATCAAATAAAGGTCAGATTTGAAATTAAACAAATATTAATTTAAATAAGATTATATTATTTGATCTTTATTAATCTAGTATTACCATTTAAAATAATATTATTTATTCAGTAAAGAAAGTAGTAAATAATGTAATTTCCAACATAATTAAATATATTAGCATTTTTAATTTACTTGACCGCATTTTATATATAAGTCTAATGTTTATTATAATTTATATTTGATTTTTTTTGAAGGTAAGCAAATTTTCTATATTTGTTATACAGGAACAAACGTTGTGACACAACTCAAAAACAAAAAATTTTTTCCGTTTTAGGTTTAGCCTTAATCCGCGAAACTTTCATCATCAAAAATAAAAGGTGTAAAAAAGAGAATTTTTGATTCTCGTAAACGAAAAGGTCTCTCTTTCCGGTATAATAAACAAATTTCTGCCAGTTGTTGTGATCATTTACACCTTTCTTTTGTAATTATAGAGAGTGAAAGGTGTGAAAAAAGAGAAATTATACCTTTTTTAGATATAAACAAATAAACTTACTGTTCAACATTTCTCACCTTTCCTCCATTGTTTCAACTGTTTTTACTTTACTTTTTGTGCTAGTTATATTATGTCAGTTGGTTTACAACCAAGTTCGCCGGACTTTGTTCAGGAGAAAACTTCTATTCAAGAACAGAATAAAAGAATCACCTCTAAAATGACAGATTTAGTTCCTCTTAGCGAGGAAGACGTTTTTTTGTCGGGTATTGCTGACAAGCATCCGAGAGATATGCCGGAGATGGCATTTGTTATTGCCTTTTGCGTCCAATACAACGAAGCGGTTGGAAACCTAGCATTCCTTCCAGAGGTAATATTTCGTTAAATGAAATTTATTAGTGCATTTATAAAGAATTTTAATTGCTTATTTATTTATAATGATAGGAGTTAGAAGATGCAATTGTGTGTCGCGAGCCAGTTGACCTGGTTGAGCGTGTTCATCGCTACTTCTTGCGGAATGTTTTGAACTTACCAAAGATAGTCGAGTATGTATCTCGCAATGAATTTGTTATATCTCAACCGCTTGCATTTCGCTAAATTCCTTAATTAAATGATGTAGTAAGCGGTATTGGATCAGGAAATTGAGTGAGCACTTATACGAAAAAATTGAGAAAGAAGAGTTCGGTCTCTCTTACAACCCTTTTGAAAGGGTCGATGACGCGTACCATGAACTCTCGAACTTCGAGAAGGTAAGCTTAATTGAATCGATATACATTTTCCTTAATATACTCTTCATTCTCATCTGAATTTTTAATCCTAGGTCATGATCTTGAAATATCTTGTGATGTGGCAGTTTAAAGGATCTGAAATGATCCAATCTCTCCGGGCCGAAAATGTTGTCCGACCTGTTGAGGTAGAAGCCCTGGGTGTCGACACTAAGGGGTCAATCTATTTCTACTTGGGTGGTAAATATCTCCTAATTAAATTTCATTTGATTTAATGTTCGTAGTAACCTATTATTTCCCTCCTTCCTTTTTATAGTTGGGGCTCGATTATACAGGGAAACTCCCGCAAATGGAACTCAACAGTGCCTTTGGGAAGCCTTGACAACTGTATTACGAGACCTTAAGGACCTCGTCGCTAGCCGTGTCGAAATCGACCCTGATCGTTCTGAAGAAGAACGTCTCCTGTATAAGAGGATTGCTGAGGAATTAATACCGGACTTAGAAAGTAAAGAGCGCGTAAGTTTTTTCGATTCTCCTCTTAATTCAAAATATATATATTCCCTACTAGCGAATTTATTGAATTTTTAACTCTTTTTTTCAGTTAGAGACGATCGGAAATCAAGTCCTTTGTAGGAGAGGTTACAAAAGGGTTGCAAATAAAAATAAACTGTCAGTCCGGTACAATAAACCACCTAAAAAGGTCCCAAAAATTTCTTTGGTTGAAGAAATCAAGTGCAATCATCCCGATATAAAAGAAGGTGCTGCTGACGAAAACACGGACTCTTTGTTTGATGCTGATGAATTTGGTGCCGAATCGATCTTTCCAGTGTCGATGTCTAAATCGGTTACACATCTCTCCCAGATTTCGCAGCCAGCGCAGACAGTGCATGACTTCAAGTGTCTTCCTTTTAAATTCTCGCGATCGGATTCGAATCAAGAGTCTTCAGTTGCGGCTGATTCAACCAGCGCAATTGATTCATTATCTATTAGTGCGACTTCCACAACGATCATTTCAAGCGGACGGGAAACCGATCGATCAAGTGACCAAAACCAAATTAACTTTGGTAGGCAAAATGCCGAACTCGTTGCATTGAAAGATGAAACTCGTAGAAAACGTTGGTTTGGTGAAGAATCGTCCGATGATGATGATTATGATGACGACGATGACGATGATGACGACGATGACGATGACGATGACGATGATGATGTTGATGATGATTCTGATGATGATGATAACGACGACGACGACGACGACGACGATGATGATGATGATGATGACAACGACGACGATGAGGATGATGATGACGATGATGATGACGATGATGATGACTCGAGTTATTCCGATGACTTTTCGGAATTCAAACGACACAAGTTTGTCAAGCTACTTGACGACGACTTGATGTTCAAATCACATGTCGATAATGAAAAAGCCGAACGACCCAAGAGAGATAAAGGAAAAAGAGTTCTCCGTGATTGTTTTGAACCTTCTCGGGTCCAGAATGTTGATATAAATAGATTGATCGTTAACGCTGCTACTCATAAACCTAGAGTTGATAAGGGTAAGGGTGTCCTCCGTTATGGAGAACCGGTTAGAGGCAATTCTGTAAATCACGATAATGACACTAATGGATCAGCCAACCGCGAAATCTTCAGGCCAGGACCAGAAGAACTTATCAAGTTGGAGTGGTCCTTAAATCACGTGTTCTTCGAAGAGTTGGAAATTTTTGGCGAAGATAGTGATTCTGAACTTTCAGACTGTTGTGATGATTGTATAATGGAAATCGATCACTTCTCTGAGCTTTGAAGTTTTTTTTCAAATGTAAGATTAGTATAATGATACTTTTGTATTGGATTATAATGAATTTGCTAATTAATGATTACATTTTATCAGGCTTAGAAAGAAGTAGAATAATGTATATTAGCAAAAAAAAAAAAACTTTTTTTTTTAAAAAAGTTTGGTAGGTATTCCAAAATTTCAAAACTTAAAGGAATTTTTGGGTATACATTACCATTGACATTTTAGAAAGTGTATTTAAATTTGTAGAAATATAATATTGCTGTAAATAATATGCTATATATTTATTTGTATGAAATTTTAGAATTATTATAGTAAGAAACTTTTGGACATTGTTTGTTTCTTCAATAAGATAATAAGATTTTCGTCCAAATTTTTGTACAAAATAACTTCCATTTTTCTTAATATATTCTGCTATTTATTAAATTATTGATGGATAATTAATAAAATTAGAAAAAAATTTTTTTTTTTTTATATTATTAGCAAAAAATTTATTTACTATTGTTATTATATATTTATTATATTTTATTATATATTGATACTTTTTTTTAATTTTTGATATTGATTTAATACTTTAATATTTATATAGTAAAGGAATAATAATTTAAATTTAGATGTATATTTAACTTTTATTAAAAAATCATTGTAAATATTCAAATATAATTAATTAAAATATTCTTATATTGTATAAAAAAATTATCAAAATTTGTAAAAGTTTAACTTTTTAATAATTTTATAAATGAATAATATTTTAATTAATAAGAATATTATAATTTATCACCTATGTGATTTGTCAGGATTTGTTGCTAGCCTCCATTTATCATATACATAATCTTATATTATATAATTAAATATAATGATATAAATATGATATAATCACGTGAAATAGCTTTTCATTAGCCTTTTTAATCAAATTGATTAGTAATTCTCATGTTCTCTCTTTCTCAATGTTTTCGCTTTAACTTATCCTTTCTTTATTATTGACTATAAAAACCCTTTTTTTTTCATTAATATCAAATGTAAACTCTTTTTTTATCACTATTATACATGGATCTTATGAAAGAAGAAGACACTTGAAATTTGCAATATGTATAAGGTATGTTTCTTGGCTTAGAATAATTTAAGGTTAGGATTAGGAGAGATTGGTTTAGAGTTAATGTTGACTTTAGAGTAGTTTAGGGTTATGGTAAGAAAAATTAGTTTAGATTAAATACGTTATCTTTTGAGTAGTGTTAGATTTAAAGTAGCTTGAGATTAAAATAAGGAAAGTTAGTTTAAAGTTAGAATACCTTAGGTTAGACTTAAGGTTAGAATAAGAAAAGTTAGTTTAGGGTTAAATAAGGCTTTACAATCTAATTCTAAATCAGAGCAGCTTATCAATTTGTTACAAGAATTTACTGAAGATAAGAAATCAAATTTGGATGAATTGAATGAAATTGATCAAGAAAATAAAATAAGTGATAAAGAAAATATTGATCTTTCAGTACTAACATTGTAAAATCTGAAAAGATGATGTGATAAAAAATGACTAAAAGATTTAAGTCATTTAACAAAGCTTCTAAACTTAAGTCATAAACTTAATAATATTGCAGTAAATGTGAGAAAGTTAACTATTATCAAAAAAATTGCAAGATAATATTAATGTATCTTTTTTACTTATATTGTTATTTTTCATGTTGACTTTATTACTATATCTCTAGAAATAAGAAATATAACATTTGTTCAGTTGAAAATAATGGATAATTAATTAGAATGTATGATAGAAGGAATATATTAATAGAAAATATATAAAAAAATGTAATGTATAAGAAATATCATAATATTAATTGTTAATTGTTAATACTTAATTTGTACAATTTATTACTAATAAAATCGCATGATAAATTTGCTAAACACGTGATATTTGAGAATTAGTAATATATCATCATAATAATAAAAAACAAAATTCAATTAATAATATTAATTATAATTTAAATAATTTAAAAAATTCAACTTTAAAATAAATTTATTAAATAAGAAATAAAATAAAATAATTAATAAAAAACAAAAAAATTACAAAAATTAAAAATATTATTATATACTTAATCTTATATACTTATATATATATATATATACTGCCCTATAATAAATTACCAGATTTTATAAATTTTACTTAATAATATATAGTAAAATTGAAGATTTTTAAATTATATAAAAGTTT